CGGCGTGCCGCGGGAGTTCGAGGTGCCCGGCGACTCAGTGGTCGCCGTCGACACGCCGATCCCGTCCCGGTCCCTCTGCTGCGGATGCTGCTGTTGCTGCACCATCGCCGCGCTCCTCTGCTGTTCCTGCAGGCCGCGCATCCTGCTCGTCGCGAAGTACTGCTCCGGCAGGATCGTAGGCACGTTCGGCGCGCCCGCCATGAACGGGGACGGCATGAACGGCGCCGGGTTCCAAAAGTTGAACGGCGCGAACGGCAAGTGGGGCATGCCCTCCATGAACGCGGGCATCTTCAGCCCGTTCGGCCCGGCTATCCCGGCCGGCGGCGTGAACGGCTTCTGCGGCTTCAGCTGCGGCTTCTTGTCGGCCGTGCCGGGGCGCATGTTCGCGGCCGCCGCCGCCGCGGCTGCGACCGCCGTCTCTTTCGTCTTGTCGTCCGTCTGCTTCTGGTCCCTGCAAACAGCGGTTGCGTCAAGGATGGAACGGAGAACGGAATCGAAATGGGGGATCGTCTGGGCTGACGTTAACGCGTTAAGCGCCGTGAGAATCTTGCTCGTTTCGCAGAAAAGTAGGGACAATCGTTAATCATTCGCCGTTGCAATCCTTGCGGTGCACTATTATCGTTACTCACACGTTTGTTTTCAAGTAAACGCGTCATCGTTGATATTGACATGGCAGTTAACGTGTTAAGAGACGTTCGAAACGGCCCACTTTCTTTCTGTTACGTTATAGATACCGTGCAAGACTCGGTACCACTGGAAACAACTGAAAAGACATTCGACAATCTACTCCATAAGCATTTTATTCAGAATCATCCTATACCACGTCGACGAAACGAAACGAGCGATCCGTCTATCGAAAGAATGAAAGCAAACGGCGAAAGCTCCCGACACAGGTCTCAAGCCAGTTACCTCTTCCTTGGCCTCATGAGGTGTCGTTCCTTGACTTTGTACTCGAGGGTGGAATGCGGCACTCCGTAGTAGCTGCCTGCGCGGTGCACGCTCATCTCGCCCCGCTGCACCGCCCTTACAGCCTCCACCAGGCTGTCCCTGTCGTAGTTGCGGTACTTTCCGCGCTTCGGCCTCGTGCCTTTGCCACCGGTCGCGGCCTTCGGCTTGTTCGCGTCTTGCGACTGCTGCGGCTTGGCCGAGGTCTGCGACTGCTGCGCGGTCGGCTGGGGCGGCGTGTACCGGCTCCTCTTGAACGGGCTGGGGTCCGTCATGATCGTCTGCTGAGGCTGCACCACGCCGCCAGGTTGGCAGCCGGGCAACCCGGCCGCCGTGCCGACCGGTTGGCCCTCTTGGAACTTGACGCTGATACTCTTCGCGATGACGTCGCGGAAGTTGACGGCCACCGTCTTCCCCACGAGCGAGTTTGTCGGGCTGCTGGTGCCGGAGAACGCCGGGCTGGCTCTCTCCAGAAGGCTGGGACTAGAGGCCGCGGTGGCGAATCCCTGGGCGAACGCGGCCGAGGTCGGTTCACCGTTCTTGCTGGAACAGCCCGGTGTGCTCGCGGGCTTGTAGGACGGAATCTTTAGTATCGCTCTGCCCTGAGCGCTGTCGCTCGCCTCCTCCTCGATGTTCGGGTTGAAGTCGTCGTTGGTGATAGGGCCGCGCTGCTGTTGCTGCGACGGCGTCTGCGGCTGCTGGTGCGCCGAGTGCGACGATTGCTGGTGATGAAACTGCTGATGACACGGCTGCGACTGGTCCCCGTTTACGCTCTTGTTTAGCCTCTTGTCTTCGCTCATCAGCCTCCTCATCACCTCCGGAATGCGATAATCTTGCGTCTCCGTGCCTGCCGGAATGAAAAAGGGGCGCCGTGTTCACAGACCGTGGGCGGAACAACAACAACACACACACACGTAAGGGAATCGAAACGCGGAACGCGTGCCGTTAAGAAAATACGATTTCGCCGGTTCTTCGCGCCTGCGAGCATTTGTCTTAATCCCGGATTAGCCCCCGGGAGAACTGCTTAAGCTACTTAAACGAAGTTCCGTTCAGAAGGTGGAAAAAGTGTCACCGACCCGTCGACCGGGGACTGGCTTCTATCGATTTCCGAAGACCTACCGGCTCGTAATACACTTTTCGACTTTCGTCCCGGCCCTTCGCGCAGACTAGTTGCCCAGTCAGCGAATGAAACGGTCTGCCGTCTATCGGAAGTAACCCAAATCCCCGTCTCGACGACGGGCCGAGGAGACGTTTCCCAGCGGAACGCGCGCCGCCGTTCGATCCCTTTTAGCGATCGGAATATCCCCGGTAACGCGGATCGCCCCGAAATCCGGGGCAAACGGTCGCCTCTCACCTTTGAACGGTGCAGCCGCCGCGAGCATCTTCTGTATGTACGGGCCGATGTTAGCGTGCTCGAGGCCCGGCCACTCGGTGCCCGTCTCCTGCGCCCGTTGCAGCAATGTTCTCAGTGAAACGTCGCCGCCGCCTTCGAGCGTGGAAAACCTGACAAGATCTTCGAAAGACAACAACGGCTTCAGCAGGGCTTTCTCGACTTCTTTCTCCTCTTCCGCTCCGGACAGTTCCTTGTCGTCCACCTGTTAAGAACATTAGTTTCTAGCGTTTTCTGCACACCCCTGACACACGAGTGGAAAAGAAATCGTCGGGTTACGGATGAATTCTGGCAAACGATATCCTCTCGAGGAAAGTCGTTCTCCGATCGATCATCGTTCCACGGAATTGTT